CAATTCTGCATGCATGTGTTCAGTCTTTCCAATGTGTAGAAGAAGAGCGACATGCATCTGTCACTCATTTTGCCTACAGGGCTCAGCACTGCCCCCTATCAGTACATCACGGTACTTTCTTGTAATTCTCAGATCCATGTTTTGGCTTCAAAGCTAAATAATTAGCCACTCGGCCTTCTGTTAAAATTTGTAGTGCTCTAACTGCTCTCCACTCTAGTCATTTACTCTTTTTTTTTTTCCAAGTAAAGCTAATCCTCTTGACTGTGGCCTCCTAAACCTCTTGTGAATGTAACTGTTTGAAAAACTCAATCTTAAATACTTTAATATTGCTTAGTGACAGACTCATCTAAATTCATCATTTCAGAAAATGTTGGGGAAGCTCAAATCTGTATGTGGTCCTTGAAATACTTCCACAAACAGCAAAATTAATCAACATAATTAAGAAAGTACAAGCCTGCTCTGTGCATAATGGTTGGTCTTGACTTGAAAAATTTCCTCCTGCTTTTAAAGCTAGGACTGTGCAACATATGTGGAATAAATGGATGAGTAACAGGCAAGAGCCTTTTGCTTTTTGAGCCACCTAAGTTAAATTTATACTATTTGAAGAGTTATGTACATTCTGTCAAGACGCTTGTAGCAAGCCTAAAGAAGAATCTTAAAATAATAATAACAACAACAACAACAACAAAAACAATAATAATAATAATAATAATAAAACACTTTTTCCAAAACAGCAAATGTTCCATTAAAAAAGAGAAAAAAATAATTAAAACACTTTGAAAATACCTAAATGTGACTAACGAGGAAACATTTTTTTTCTGTTTGTATGTAATCACATCTATTTTCTGAGTTTTCATTATAATTAAGTCATTTGTTTACTAGAATGGCCTTGTGTGTCTTATAAGCAGAACATTACACTTCTACCTAACTGTGAAGGCGCCTTTTGTACTTGATGAGTGCAAGTATGTCACAATTAAAGGTGAAGCTGGCGACGGAGTACCAAAACGCTGGAGGCCAGGACACGATGCAGAATAAAAGAACTTTATTAGACGCTGGAACCAGAGACGAGACAAACACAGGCTTGGGAAAGCCAGCCAACGCCAACGAAGGGAGGGGAAGCGCTTTGCCTCGGCACAAAGAAGACAAAGAGACATGAACATTGATTGAAGTTAAAAAAAAAACAACCAAAAAACTGTGAAAACTGATTCCGCAAAACGAAACAATTCAGTAAAGCTGTCAGTACAACATGGACCAAAACAAGTGATTTGAAAAATTAAGTCTGAAATCAAGACATTGTTGAATGACTCTTGATACCTGCGATCTTTGTAGACTTTATCTAGTAAAAACTTATCAAAATGTTTACACTGTCAGCATGTTTTCATGGAAAAACATATTTATATTCATATTTGATATTTGTAATTTAGCAATATGTTGTCATGGCTTATTGATGCTGTGCAGCTTGGGATGAGTTTGTCTCAGCAAAATAATGAAGCCTTGGCATAAACTGGAAGACTCTCTAACCCCACCGGAGACTCACTCATTGCCGTCGACCTATCAACGCCAGACCAAGCCAATCACTGACCACGCTCCCGCTGAAAAGGGCCTCCATCCATGGCATCTTCTGCTTTCCAGGTGCACACAGCCCACCTCTGGCCCTTCTACACCTCCATTATCCTGGTTCTCCAACCTCCACCACCAGTGTCGGGCCCTGGGGGATGACATTCCTAATCAGCATCAGGAATGCTCATCCGAGCTTATTGCAATTCACAGCTTGATGTTCCGAGTGCCAAAGAACTTCAATTCATGCATGTCAATAAACCCTTTTAATCGCTGTCTTTCTCCGCCTGAGTCTCTCCAGATTTAATTACTTTTACAACTGGAAGTAGCCGACGAGCATCTCAAAAGCTCAAATAATGCCTATAACAAGGACTGCAAAAGCAAATGAGGTGGATAAGCAGTGCTTGTCAATAGCTGATGGCTTCATCTAATATATATTATAGTGGAATGACGCTGTAGTGTTTTTGTTTATGAACGATCCATTGAACTGAACGAATAGTTTCAGTGAATGAACTGAAACCAATCATGTTATTGACAGATTCTCCCAATGAGAAGTGACTACCACGATCCCTTCACGCTGATTGTGTTTTGCTGGGCTATATAGTTAGAATCGCCATTTCACATTGGCAGTGTGCTACGAATCAGCAGTTAACGATGAATCAAAGCAATATAAGAATTAACTTGATAGGCGTGTGTGTATGTGTGTTTTATGTAGGTTGACACATTATGACTTAGAACAGAGAAAGGAATCCGGTATAAATTGATCATTTTTAATATAGGGGTCCTACAGAATCGGTACGCTCAAAGGGAATTGAATCAGTTGTTTGCAGCAGCACTCTGCTAATTGAGCTCTTAGCATGTCACAACACTCAAATCACTCTCATACACCAACTGTCTTCAGTCAGAGGCCTCTTCAGATTTGCTGCAAGACTGACTGCTACTGAAGAGCCTTTCTGTCTACAGCATCATCATCATCATCGACTGAGGATTCTTACAACAGCGTCTTTTTTGCCTCTGAGAGAGGAAAAGCATTTTTGAAGTGAATAATAACCAGCACAGAGCAAGAATCGTCCTCCTGCGTGGCCAGCTGTTTGGGTTTGTCAGTTGGCTTGCTGCAGTAAAAAATAATAAGAAGAATAAATCAGTAAATTAGTTCTTGCTTAGCAACTTCCATATCATTGTTTTCCACAGTGAGGCACTTAAACGCTTTTTAATTTTCAAAACCTTTAACACAAATATGGGACACTGTGAAATCCATTAGAGATGCAAAGGGATATTGCTATAGCATTATTGTTGTGTTTCAATATTTAAAGTATACCCTGTCATATGCACTGATTATTTGCAAGTGTTACTCATAACTTTTGGCAAGTAGAACAACAATTGAAGCTGTAAGTCAAACACACAACAGGAGAAAAATATTTGCAATGCTTTTCTTTTCTTCATAGTCTGACAGTTAGCTCAATAGTCTTCAGCCCAGGAGAAATACTTAATGCACGGCCTGTGGGTCTCTTTTGGGTTATTATCTGGTTAACCTCGCCTGACAGCGAAACCCCAAGCTCCAAGCGGGGGAAAAATGAACAAATGAGGTTTCCATCAATACTGCAATAAGAAGGGTCAAAGTGGCACGATTTGCATACAAAACAGACCTACGTTCAAATATACATCTCAGAAACATAAGTTAATAAAACACTGTATGCAATTAACAGACGGATTGTGTCGAGGAGGATAACGTCTTTCAAGGATCGTCACATTTCTGGTGACAGCAGCCGCTCGTCGTGAGCCATTTACAGTGACTAATGACAAGGTTTTTTATTTGTTGTTTTTTTTGTGGTTAAATGTGCCGTCTTAGAAACAGCTTCGAATCACCTTCGCAACACAAATGAATTGCAGGGAGGCCAATAAAACTGCGCAGCTGTGTGTGTAGTGAGTGCATGAGGTGCTTGACTGAAGCGTCTTAATTTCACTGTAGTGTTTTCCCCAGCATTTCAATAAGAATCGTTAATTTGTGCCCCACAACAATCTGACTGCTGTAATTCCTTTAGAAATCCACAAAAAAAAAAAAAAAAAAAAACTTTAATAAGCAAACCTACCCAATGGCAAGAATATGAGCTTATTCTTTGCTAACTAGCATTAAAACACCATTTAAATGCTAATGGCTCTTCAGATACAAATGACAGCCTAAGCTAGTTGGTGCACAGTGCTCAAAATATAAAGAATTTCATAAAGAAACATTTAATGACTAAAGAAAATTTTTCTGGAGTTGTTAACATGGCTTTCTGCTCATGTTGGGATGGAGTAGTGGATGCAACAAAGAAAAAAAAAAGAAAGTTACTTATCACAGGTACAATGTGTCCCTTGTGACTGGGTTAGGTTGTAATAGCTGAATAAAATATGAATGCCAGAAATTGGTATCTATTAAAAAAAGATCGGTGAGTTCATTTTAATTCTGTTTCTAACATGTAACAGAAAAAATATATACTTTTTTTTTTCTGCCAAAAAGATGTTCAGTTTTATTTGGAGGTGGTAAGAACTGGGTGCCGTTGATGTAAGGATTGCCAAAAACAAGAACACAAAGAAAAAGATTTAATCTGAGGAGCATAGGAAAATTTTGTCACTGTGACAAATACAACCTGGCTGGTTTAACAAAAGTACCAATCTAAGCAAAAGATACAGGATAAAGTGTCATATTTCAATGCTTGTCAATAATTTATGTCGCCTGAGCTGCGGTCACATGTTCATTTTTCATTATAAGGTACTAATAGTTTTATTTCTTCTTTTTCTTGGATTCCTTGAGAAAGAACAAAAACAAAAACAATCTTTGTCCTTCGTCCCCCAACTTTCAGCAATGGTCATGGACTTGGCCGGAAGCAACCCGTTTAAATAAAATCCCACTTAGAGCCTCACGCCACCTCGGGTCCGTCCGATCTGCTTAGTCAGAGAATATTCAATCATTTCTAATATAAAAGAGAAATAGACGCTCTAATCACTGCGGTGCAAGATGAATTATATTATCTTGCTCTATAGACTCGTTTAGCTGAGATAATGCGCGCTTAATTGGCAAAAGGACACCAATCAGAAGCCATATGCTCAAAGGCTGCAGATAGTTATTAATTAGTAAAAACGCGATTTGAAAAGCCATTTGTAAGAGAGCCCACCCCAAACCCAAGACACCCGCTCCGACGTCGGCCGCCACTCCACCCTGCTGTCTGGAAAACAAGGCGCGAATAACAACTAATTAAAACAATATGACTGCTTGTATCTGCGCGTGGCAAGCAAGCAAGCAAACAAACAAACCACTGCACGTGCGTTTGTCCACACGTTTTATTTCTCAACAGGTCCACCCTCTCTCTCTCTCTCTCTCTCTATTTGCTCACTCCTCTCTCTCTCTCCTCTCTCTCTCTCTCTCTAGCCGCCGCCGCCGCCTTCTGCCGCGCGCTCAGTGATTATTCCGCTCGCGCTCAGCTGAGTGTCGGCAGCTTCAAAGCTCAGCATCACTTTCTTTCCCCGTCTCTTTCCCAATCACCGCACTGCGATTCAGCGAGGTGAGGTTCACAGCTTCACAGCTCCACAGCTCAGCACCTGACCGACTCGTGCGCACGAGCAAAGCAGCCTCGCCGGGACACCGAGACGGGTTTAAAAAAAAAAAAAAAAAAAAAAAAAAAGAGGTGGGGTGTGGAAGGGGTCGACAAATGCTCGAGACCCGCGGCAGGTGGCCCCAGACCCGACGGGGAGGGAGACGAGCGCGGCAGTGATGGGACAGTTTTCCGGAGGACGCTGCTGGAGTTTTTCCGTCCTCGTGCTCCTTGGTTTGCGAGTCCCGGCGACGTTAGCTCGAGGTAAGCAGCACGAGACTTTAATGAGCTCCAAGTCTGCGAGAATAAACTCAAAGGTGTGTAAATGGAAATGTCGCTTCGTTTGGCGCTGGCTGTAGTTACCTTGCAGGGAGGTGGAGAGTATTTTTCCTATTTCTCACTTGCGTGCACTTCATAATATGTTCACGGACTGGATTTTAATGACGGCAAGTTTTTGTTAATGGTGCGTAACAGTGACGTGGGCGTCTGCTTGGCGTGATTAATTACATGTAATTGATGCTTTATACTGTTTAGACATGAAGTTGAATCATTTCTGCTCCTCTTCGGAAAACAATTGCGCATTAGTGAGTGAAGAAGCGCTCAGCTGCGTATGTGCGCTATTTCTTTTCTTTTTTTTCTTTTTTGTACATAATTTTTACATGACAGGATCATTTAGTATTTAGTGAGGTGGGGAAAGTAGTGATGTTCAGCAGGTTCACATGTATCCAAATGCGTGGGCAGTTGTTTTCACACATGATGCATTGTTCTCCTGAAGGCTTGGCAATACAGGAAAAATAATTGCTTAGTAGCAAAATTGTCCAGAAATGAAAACGTGGTAATTAGATGTTATGTTGCAGCTTGCAAGCCTTTGGCCGGAGGAGTAGATGACCATAAAGCCTTTCTCTCTGGGTGAATCCATGCTGACCCATTGACTTCCATTTAACTTGCATGCCAGTGTAACAAAGCAGCATTTGCAAGTCAATTAGTTAAGTAGCCCTGAAGGTTTTCATCTCTTTGCATCGCAAGTTTTGAAATTAGCTTCGACTTGGAATTTTGTCCTGCATACATATTAGATCACGTGTAAGTATCTTAAGTACAGCTTTTTATGCAAGGATTAGGGTGCTTTTGTTGCTGATATATAGAAGGTCCTTTAAAGATGACCTTTAATAAAAAAAAAAAAACAACAGGCTTGCAGTTGCATTTTGTAGCATCTCCACTGTGGCCATATTACATTGGTGAAATGTTGCTGTGATGTTCAGAAAGAGTGACCAGGGCTCAGCAGGAAAACAATGCCACAATTGCATGAAAGTAAAATGTGCCTCTGTGTTTGAGGAGGCAGTTTATATAAGCTGCATAGGTCCTTTTTGCTGGCTGGCAATGGCTCTTACTCAGGCGGTTTGTGATAAATATTTATGTTTTTCAAAAATATAAATGTCAGCAGTCAAGTACATTATGCAAACATGAAAGGGTGCACAAAGGAAAAGCAACTCTAAGGGCAAAGAAATAGAAGAATTGCAAAGCATTTCTAAGTTATGGCTGAATTAAAAAAAAAAATTACCTACATACATTTTGCGTTCCCTGCAGTTTTCACATTCGGTAATCCAGTGCGTATTTTTTTTAGGATCGATTACTATTTTCTGAAAGAACAGCAACATTCCAATTTTGTTTCTCTCTATTTTGGTTGGTTTTTAATGCATTTTTCTTGTTACTTCTTCTCGTAAGTCTTGTTAAGAAAGTGGTACATTTACTTTTCATGAGTCTTATTGCAATGTTCAGTTCTCTAACAAAAATATGCATATTAGGGAGAAAAAAAACACTTGTTTTTCTCGCTTCACGCTTGTTGTACTTGCGATATATATATATATATATATATATATATATATATATATATATATATATATATATATATATATATATAAATGTATGTTGAACCAAGATATATTTAGCACCGACTCTCAGTATGATGCTCATAACATGTTTGTGACAAAATGTAACAGCATTTTCTCCAAGTTGACAGCTAGCTTCTTTTGTGTTGGAACTGGAGCATTAACAGTTTGAGGGTGTGAGCTACTGGTGTTCTGGCATCAACACGTTCTTCTGACACTGGAAGCAGCCGTTTTGGTATCTCCAACGCTGTGGCCACACGCAGACATTCTGGCAGGCTTTCAGAGCCTTCATTTTTATTCGTTTTGGGTGCTCGGAGGATTAGCACTTGTCGGGAAGCCTTTTTTTTTGCACTTTCATTCACCAGACACTTTTTTCTCAGCCTATAAGTGTTGTTGTTGTCACCTAACCTGTCTTCCCTGCTGCTCCGCTCAGCACTATCAGATACCCAAACACAGTAAGGGGAAGCGCGGGCGAGGAAATAATCCCACTGTAAATAACAGAACAAGTTGGATGTAATGCTCACGCTGAGCTGAAATAGAGTGACTGCATATACATTTGCAGACTAATGTAATTGCATACCTTTCTATTGGTTTTAGAACAGTGTGAATCTCATAAAGGTTGTTGTTTCCTTTATGATGCAGGCTTTATTTGTCATGTAAAAATTTCATTGTATTTCATATCGTTGGGAGGAAAATTAGTAACTTAAAATTGAATTACAAAGAAGTAAAAGTGGCAACGCCAAGAGAGTTGTACAGCTTGGATAATGACTTTCATGTACAATATAAGCTGTCAAATATTTCAGTATTCTAATAAGCAGTGACATTGTATATATTTATTTATATTATACATATTGGACTTGGTAAGCAGAGTTTTTTGAGCCCAATTTTGGTTACTGGATGAATCTTTAAACAATGTGTATAATAATGCAGAGAACTTCAGATCTCAATTTAGTAAAAAGTGGAATTTCATGGCTTTACTTTTATGCTGTGACTCATCCAACCACACAGATCCAGATTCAGTAACATTCAAAAATGTCTGAGTGGAAAACCAGGACTTTTGCATATCATATTTTTCTAAATCTTGCAGCTTTGTTGGGGATGGCGGATAAATACATCTATACTTTACAGTCACTTAGTTCTAATTATGCTCCAGGTGTGCGACCGCTCTCTGCATCTCTTTATGGTCACTGCAGTTTAGTGGAAATGTAATTTTTAGATCCTCTACATGCAGTTTATTATTCTCAATGCTTCACCTCCCAGCCTTAAGGCTGTAAAATGAACCAAAAGCTAAAAGTATAGCATAACAACACTGACATGTTCTGCTGTGTTCGTTGTTGGAACGCCCCATTGTTGATATTGTTTGGCTTTGGGCTTTAAATGATGACTCTATGAGGAAATAAACATCTGTGAAGTTTACTTACTAAACCCAGTTCTTGGTGTACTTTAACTCCAGTTGTCCAGCACTGTTTAAAGCGAATGATCTGGTCATTAAACAGGACTCTCCTTCCCTCGGTCCTCGTCACCTGCTCCCCGCCACCAGCCAAACACTTGAGGGAAAGGGAGCACTACGTAGCTCACACATCATTATACATTGCATTCAATTGCTCTTGGATATCAGCTATTTCAACATTCATTTCAACACTCGTTTGGATGACATTTGGGTTTACATTCCACAATGCAATTTAATGCATTTTTAACATGTTATTTGCTCTTGTGTTATGCCCCCTATCTGCCTTTTATGCTTGCCACCAGTGTATTTTTTGTGGCTGAGATGCAAATGCTTACGGATAGTGTTATGAAGCTGTAGATTGTTTTAGAAAATGTACATTTGTATGCAGTTGAAGTGTTATTGAGGTACCAATGAGCTTAGTTTCATGAAAGTAACACCTCAGTCTGAAATGTGTAGCTTGTCCAAAGCAAGACACCAGCATCTCCAAACGGAGGAGCAGCAGCTGCTTGGTGTCCTTCTTCACCAATGCCAAATTAACCTTAGATCACGTTGAGCTGAATAAACACCACTTTCAGCCCTTTTGTAGCTAAAATGTCTTCGATTGCAAAATTTATGTCACAACAACACAGCAGCGCTCCAAAGCCCAGGCACAATACAACAAATTTCATTTTGCTGTTTGATCAAAACAATTCAGCAAGCTCTTTGTTGAGAATTCACATGGCAGAACATGTAATCCAGACAACCTGCTGGTAGAAAAGTCTCATGGTCTGGCATGGTTAGAAAAAAAAAAGACTGTTGGAGAGAGGCAAGAAGAGAGCCAGAGAATGGAGAATAAAGGGCAATAGAGTCATCGCTGACATGTTTTATTTATCTCAAAAATGACTGCTGGAATCTTGCTCGAGCTTCGAGTTTGATTTCACTGACGTTTCACACGATATGAACCCAGTGGCACAGTTGGGAAGGCATCCACTGGTGTGTTGTGGTGGTCATTCTGCCCACTTCACTTCTGCATTATTCAAAGGGAGTCCATTACTTCATTCAAACCTATCAAGCCCCTCGCTCATCATTTCTTCTCGACATTCAAAGGAAACCAGGCTCACCAAGAGCCAAAGACGGGTAGGGGGTACTGCTTATGGAAAATGGACTTTAAAGCAAAGCATTTTGTAACCTTATACTGGGAAGCTTTAAAGTACAAGAAAATGTATTCAGTAAGATATGACAATAGAGCAGTGAAGTGTTATGGCATAGCTGTATGGTTGTTTTGTTGAGGATTTCATCAATGCTTTATCTTTAGCTTCTTCTATAAGGAAGAAGGAATTAGCCTAGCGACCATTTGTTTTCTCAAAAAAATGTTCTGCTTCCAGTCATAAACATCTCAATGGCTAAATTCTGTTGTATTGTTAGACTTCCAATTTCCTGTTTGTCTTGTTTTTTTTTCAGTTTTAGATTCTCAAATTGATCTGACATGATACCTAATTTTTTTTGTTAAAAAGGGCTGCATATCCTGGCCCAAATTCTGATCTAAAGATATTTGTAAAATTACCCCATACTTGCAGTAATTGCAGAACTGTCACTTAAAAATGCTTCGGTACTGAACTCTGAACATGAATAGATTCATGTTCAGAGTTCAGTTCAGAGTTAACTTTAATGCTAAAGTAATAAAGTAATATTACCTGCTTTTGAAAAAGAGAACAGATGCATCTCTCTGAATCCTTATATGTTTTTCCAAAAACGACACTCTGGACTGCATCAACAAAAACACGTACGTGGATACACACTTGCCTTGGGATCATATTTTACCTAACCCCATCAGTATTGTGTGTTTTTATGCATGCATCGTTCTACACAGTGCTAGTTTTTAATGTTCCATGTATGTCAAGGCGTGGAGACAATGACAGGGTGTCAAGTGGGGCCATTTGCGCTTCTTC